AAAGCAGTTATAGACAGCTCATTGTATTTTGTCCAGTCTGTCTTGTTGTATAGGAATTTTTCAATGGGAGGATTAATTTGGTATCTATCAACTGACAATGAAACACGAGTAAGCGTAGGAAAATGATAGCTCCCCATACAATCATCATGCACCCACCATTCGCATAGTGGAGTGATTGAAGCACTACAAAAGCTGACATCAATAGCCGATGGATTTCGGTTAGGATAATTAATAGTAGTGAAGCTACCATTGTTGAGGACACATAGATCAAATTCATCAATTAAATCGTATAACTGATGACCCCGACTTTTCGTGGTCATACACCCAAATGCCACATGGTGAGCGTTGAAATCTCCAGCCACATATATTGGCTTAGGCAAATCTCTAATTATATCACGCAGTTTACTTATTCTGAAGTTACCATTCGATGGAGGGCAGTATACACATAAAATCGTTAATTGTTTACCACTTACATATAACAATAATGCCACAGTCTGAATGTCTTGGTAAAATCTGGTTTGAATAATATTATATTTAAAATACGGTTTGATCAAAATTGCTACTCCACCATGCTCATTTTGGGCATTATGATAGTGGAAATTATATCCCGAAATGTTAAAATGCTGAGTATCTTTCAGCCAAGTTTCATTGAGTAGACAGATATCAACATTTTGCTCATCTAAAAATTTAGACAATAAGGATTTTTTCCTATGTATACTTTGAATATTGTACTGAGCTATACATAACTGATGTATGTTCTGTACTGTACTGTCCATTATTGTGACAGATTTTTTAAAAGTAAGTCTTTAATGAACAGTGTAGTCACAGGTTCATTATCTGTTTTATTACCTAATTCGACTAAAGTTTGGACCATTGCCATCAAAATATTCTTATTGTTTGCAATTTGAGCCTTAAGTTGAGTTTGGTTCAAGTTGGGTTCAGGCACTGTTTTATTTACATTATTTACAATTTTTACATTTTTATTTAATTTATGTACATTTTGGTTTATTGATGGTAGGGTCTTAACAATGCTGCTCGACTGTGCAGGTAAAGACGGAAAATCAGATGACTTAATTGTATTAGCTACAGAGGCATAAGTAATTTTACCCTTTTTTTCAAGTATTTTTTTCATTTTTATTGGGCAAGATTTGGAAATGGCCAGGTGGGGACCACTGCAATTGACACAACACAGGTTTTCTTTTTTATCACAGTCTCTGAAATTATGTTCCCCAGCACATATCGAGCAACGTTGTTTACCATTACAAATTTTCGCAGGGTGGTTGAACTTGAAGCACCGGAAGCATTGTTGTAACGGTGGGACATATTCAAACACCCTGAACGAAAATAGGTCATATTGGATGTTGTCGGGCAGAACATTTGATAGGAAAGTTATACTGACCGTCTCGAGACCTACAGTACTTTGACCGACTTTTTTCGTGAATCTTCTCACTGAAATAATTTCATAAATCGAAGACAGTTTCGTATATAATTCCTTGTTCGAAATGTTGGTAGGCACATATCGGATGATTCCAGTTTTTTCTATCTGCGCTGCAGGAATATGCGCCTTCAAGTTGTGCTTTGTTAAAAAGTCTGTATTTGTGATGAAATTATTTGCAGTGTTGTATTGTTTAAAAACAACCGCAATTTTGTTGGCATTGACTCTATGTAAAGCTACCACACCTTTCACCTCCGAAGTAAAAATATGATTTAAGTAAACTGGGCTTTTATTTCCAAGTTTAACCTGTTTGTCCTGGCTTTCAACAAAAACTTTGAAGTCCGTATTTGTACAATGTTCAGGATAAAGTCTCAGATAACCTGGCTTAAAAAACGGAATAAAGTCATCCTCACCGCCGCCTACTTCAGGTCCACTTTCCTTCGTACCTCTTTTACGAACAATTTTGGATCGTTTCGGGGTTCCACCTGGATCCTCCGGTTCATTCATTTTAACAATTTACAAAATGTACAATTATTTACACCGAACAGGATATTTTAACGATAAATATAAAAATTAAATCGACCGCCTCGTTTGAAGTTCCCGCCAAAAAAAAAAACAAAAAAAAAAAAAACACTTAAATCATTTTACTCTATTCAAGTGTTGTCATTATAGTAATATTCATACTATTTTCGTATACACTTTGTAAGACTACCAACACAACACACAAACACAAAATATTTTTATATTAAGTTATTATTAGTAATAACTATACTACAATCAGTAATAAGAATAATAAAAGTATATGTTTGAAAAGAAGTCTCTTACAAAGAACTTCCTACAATAATACATTATCTCATTCATAGTAATATGTAACAATTCCATTTAATGCTATGGCAACACTAGCTAAAACAAAATGTCAATGTTTTTTTACTGGCTTTACGGCTCTAGGTTCTAGCCCTTCTGAGACTGTCACTGTATGACACAAAGGCCCTGGAGCCATGCCAGAAATATACATTTATAGTATGCAAATATATAATAGAGATTTTTTAACAGTGGTAGAGCCACGCGGCAGCTTTTGCTGTCGCACGGATGGGCCGGTTCGAACCGGGGTGGTACCACGACCTCACAGAAAACCAGCGTGAAGTAGAGGTTTACCTCTGCGTTTCGCTTGGTGAGTGCAGGTGGCCGGAGGCCCTTTTTACTGGAAATGAGGCATACCATCTTAGTCCTCACGGGTGACAACGCATCTACATTTTGATTTGTAATAGATAGATGTAGATGTCTATGGGCCGCAGCAACCACTTACCATCAGGTGGACTGTGTGTTCGTTTGTCACACTTATCCTATAAAAAAAAAGATACAATAATCTACAAACTCTCAATTATGTAGTTAGGGCACATTATGTTGAGAATGTATTAAGCTAACATCAAACAACCACAGGACGCATGACTTTTTCCAAGTGACATAAGACATAACCTAAAAAGGTTCAAATCTAAATATCTTTTTTTGACGCCTTCTCAGGACAAAATTCTTTGACAGAGTTATTAAGGGAGTGACGCTTAACATTTTAAGATATTTTTGATATATAGACGCTACCATTCATTCTCAACTAATTTTATGTATGAAAGTCTGCCATTGTTCTTTTAATTTCTTTTTCAAATTGTCGCTTTATCCACTTTTAATGTAGGAAATGTCTACGCATACCCGCCTGCACCCATGACACCGATACGCGGAAGCGTGGCTTAGTAAAAACGAGCGCTCTGAAGCACAAGCTTTCATGACGTCAGCGGCGGATCTGGTCAGTGGCCTCACCACCCCCGCAACAACGATGCGGCCCTGCTAAAATCGCGGAGGATAGGGTGAATGGCGCATCGCCATACTGACATTTCTCTTTCCCGCGACTCGCCTCTCGCCGCAGCCCACCAACACACATCCGAAGTGGGATTGCCAAGCCAATTCGGAATGGCCACCTAGGGCCAGCTATGTAGGGTCCCTCTTCATTCACCACGCGTGACGAAATCCATGGATACTGAGACACCCCCCCCCCCCTCACGACAAGGCAGGAACTCGTTCTGGGGATGGCAGCTTACAACCTGCCCAAATTATTGAAGGATTCGCAAAAATATCCGAGGTTATGAGTTTAATGAGCAAAATAAAATTTTATGTGTTTTTTTTTAGTGTGTTACTGTTTTTTGATACCTGAGCTTGGTCAAGCCCCTTCGAAGCCAAAATCCTGGATGGAATCCTTTCCTGCAGACTGTGGCTGAAGATATCTACTGCGCGTTTGTGCGACATCGTGCTCATCCTACACGATCGACTTGCACTGCGGCATGTATCATTGATTGCACGATGAAGTGGCAATTTGAACACCGAATGTGCAGTCCATCTACCCTTGAGCGAAGATGTATCGAATGCCGGTGGAAATTACTGAAGTTCAGCAGGAATGTTAAGGCTGTACCCACTAGTGAATCGAGGAAGAATAACACCTCAACCTCACTTCGCTGCAGAGGCAAACATGGCGCCATTTCAGTCGGTCCATAATCTAGGTGTAAAAAAAACATTGTCAATTCTTAGTTACGTTACTGCGTGAAAGAATGACAGATCAACAACACAATTTCGCAATAGTATACCAATAAAGAAATGAACAGCATTAAATGATACAAAAAAGTTGCAGAAATAAATCCGAAAATGAAGATAATTAAAAAAGGGAGTCATTCGATATTCATAACCAATTCAAAACCTAACAAAAATGTTAAGATAAGTATTTAGACTTCATGAAAAAAGTTCTGACTTGGCTCGGGCTATCCATTTTCAAATCTCGCGTTTTTCCCACATAATACCAATCCCTATAAAATCCCCAACCAACTTTAAATTCCCCGCATTTTGGGGAATTCCCCACATATTGGCAACGTTGTAACGTGTGCGCTGCCGCCGCCCGGCCAACACGGGTCGGCCGAGTCAGCGTGTCTGTGAAAAGGAAGGGTAGAGTAATTAGTAATACCTAATGCATTGTTTCATCAGTTTCGTACCGAGCTAGATACAAGAGTTCGGCGTCCTCGTGAATAATGAGCTGATTTAAATTACACTGCTAGTTTTATGTTTAAGTAAATATTTTCATGATTTTTTTAATGAAATTATCGTTTGATTTAGCTGTACTAACATGATGGAGCGTGAATAAAGCTAATAAAACGTTATGAATAGATGATTTTTTCCTTCGGGATCGATTTTTCTTACTGACCCATCATCAAAGGTATCGTCAGTACTGTCATCTGTCTTCGTTTTCGGGAGCATTTCACAAACAGCCTGTATACAGGATCATTTTTTAAAAAGTTGCCAAATTTTTAACCAAACTTTATACCGTATTGCAGTTTTTAAAAATACGAGTAAATAAGGCTTCTATTTTTATTTGAATTTATCCCAAATTGAATATAATTTATGGGCAACAACGTTTTTGCCTAATTCTGAACCTTCTCTACAAATTTGGCCGGTCATTACAAAATAACCCTGTATAGTTATAGTATTAAATAAGGATTTTCATTTTAAATTAAAATAAAATATAATAACATATTGTATAATTTGAGTGTTTTATTTTGCATCATACAAAAAATATACGGGCAAATAAAATAACAAAATACATTTTCCTTAGACACGGAAGATGTAATTCACAATCATATAATATACGAGTAAATAAATCTCTACGTAGAATAATATCGCAACGTATTAACACAAAAGCATTTAACTTTAAACTTTATCCTACTATTATATTTATTATTTATAACCTACATTTTGGATGTATAATTCGCTCTCTGAGACCTCTTTACTTGAGAGTCAGAATTACTCTCATTACCTTATAAAAGTTAAAGCCTATATACGACCCACTGCTAGGCTCCCCTCATTCTGAGACGGTTTTAGGGCAAGGAAGTGTCGGCAGCGCCGCCCCAAATGCCTGTTGGCGAACTTCACATGTCTTCCAGTGTTTTTTTCTTATTTCTGAGACATGCAGGTTTCCTCACGATGTTTTTCCTTCACCGCCGAGCACGTGGCAAAACAGGACTTAAAATTGCAAATAACAATCTCATTGGTGCCGGCGGGGATCAGAACCCTGGCTGCTCGCGTACTGTGAAATTTACAGTGAGCGATAACCATCTGAGCTACCACGGCTCAGGTGATTTATTACCTTATGTACTCTTTTAAATATAAAAATTGGATATATGTTTCATAATTGAAAGTGCGGTGATACACAGGCTTAGTTTGAAATCAGGTATAATATGGAGCCTACTTAAATGGTTTATCACTTATAACTTAATTACATTTTTTATAAACACTATATCAACGAAATAATATATATATAGGCAGTTTATGGATGGCATGCATTTAACACAATCAAGAAATTACTTTAGGATCTTGTTTCATAGGTCATAAATATCGAATGTTTTTTTTTTCATATATTGTGTGTTAGCATGCTAGCAAGCAAACAAGTTTTTCAAGTTATTTGTTGTAATTTATCTTAACATCATATAATATATCAGGACACAGATATTATATACGAGTATTATCTTAATTTAAATTTTAAAAAAATGTAACAATAATGTATAACAAATAACTAATAACAAAAAATATGCAAAAAAAATGTTTCTCTTCATGTTGCACAACCTCCTCTACAACAGTCTTATTTTCGTTGCAACAAAAACAAGAAATCTCTTTTACACTACGTAATAAATAATATAAAAGTTCCTATAATCTAAATGGCCTTCCCCTCCCTATCCCTATAACACCTTTGCGGCTATCGTTTATTTGGGCCACATGTAACCTTCCTCTGCCTTTTCCTACTCCTAAGTCTACATTTTTATACGATCCTGCCGCATGTAAGTCTTCAGTAGTGGAGGCTTTTTCATGACGCAGTGTCTTACAGTTAGAAGGTGTGTAAAGTTCCGAAGGATTAATATCGCGTGAAAGGTATTCGTCGTAGCTGTTGAAAGCAGTTTCGGCGCGTGGAATGATCTCAAGGAGGCCTCTTGAGTACATGCGCTGGAACAAAATAGACTGCTGTTAGAGCTCGACTCGTATATTAAAATTTTACTTATTTTTAAGGTGACAAATCATACCACTAAAGAATGTTTGAGTATCGTGCTTTTTGGTACATCCTAGAAGGATTCCTTTCATTGTATACTTTAATATACTTTTGTATTTTAAAAAATTATTCAAGACTTTATACAGGATATCGAGATTAATTATACAGGAAGGTTCAGAATAAGTAATATAAACAAATGATAAAGAAAAATTACGGTTGACCCAACAGGCCATCCCTGCAATTTCCCGCTAATTTCGAATGCAAAGGTTATGAAAATTCAAAATTTTCAACAATGATTTCTTTTGAACTAATGAACCGATTTGGATACGGTTAGCGGCAATTAAGTTATTTCAAAACAAAATATCTCAAAACCACACACATATACACACACACACATCGCGCGCGCGCGCACATTCACACGCATGCACGCACTCATCGTACACGCGCACGTGCACTCGCACACGAACTAGCCCACGCACACACACACACACACACATGTACCTTGTCGCGCGTCTTCCCGCGCCCGTCCATTCCGTTTACCGTTACACCGCTAAGTACATACGTCCGCTTGCCCGGCCGACAGCTGACAGTATTGATCTTGACTTCATTACGTACGCTTCGTAACCAATGACGGAACAAAAATATTCGAACCGCGAGTACTATGAAACATTTTGAGCACTTACTTGGTGCACAAATATTTTACGAAAATGAGTATTTACCGCGGCAAGACATTAACGCACCAATCAAAGAGCTGGTGTTTCCTATGGCTTGCATCGTAAACATTTAAGACACATATATAGCACTGATCAGAAATCGTATAGATTTAGTCGGACGAAGAAAATTTAATGGATGTTGTTTTATATTTACGTATGGTTGAAGGAGTGTAGAAGGACATTGGGTTTATGTTTTATGTGCCTAATGTGGATATCATACTTAATAATGACATCATTGTTTTAAAATAAGTACTAGTACTACTATTATGACTTTGGAACTTATTGCAATCTCGGAAGCTTTGAGATATGTTATCAGTAGCCAATATAAAAATGTCGTTATATGCACAACCAGCAAGAGTTCGTTGCAGCATATAGCTCAATGCGCCTCTGGTTACAGAGATGCAACGATAGCTTATGACATTATATCCAAGATGGATGAAATAACTTCAAAAGGCGTCCAACTGAGATTATAATGGGTTCCATCGCATATTAGGTTACGGGGCAACAAAAAGGCTGACATGTTAGTGAAATATGCTGTTAAGAATGGAAAGGTAACTAATACTATTTTGGATTACTCAGAAGTTTTACCTAAATACAAAAATATATGTTATGAAATGTGGAAGGAATACTTTAACAAACGGTAACTAGAAAAAGTATTATGGTATAAAAAACATACAGTGTCAGCCTCTTCATGTGCCCTGGTTCATGAATGCTAATTTAAGTAGGAAATTAGTTACTAGTGCTCATAGACTCAGATCTGGACACGTTCTATGTAAGAAATTTGTCTTCATGATGAGAAAAACAACTTCGCCCAATTGTGAAGACTGTGGGGTTATAGAAGACCTTCACAATTTCTTGATGAAATGTGTTCGATTTGAGTCTGTTAAAAGTAATTTAATAAGGGTCTTGAATTTGAACAGAGCTGACGTAGGTACATATCATTCTACCAAATGGGGACGATGCGAAAGTTCTGTTCGAATCCATGGCCCAAGTAGTATTATAATTATTGTTATATGAGCTAGTGATGTAGGTTAGGGTAGGATGGGACTGACATACGCTAAGCAGTAAAAGTCACTTAAATGATTGTAAAATAAAAAAAAGCTTTAGAACTAAATCAGTCTATTGTTACCTAGAACATAATTCTCTCACCTGGCGCTGACTATCCTCGTGCAGTAGCTGCCGCAAAGCACGGGCGTGGGTCTGTATCTCCGCACTGAATCGTTCGGACGACAAATACGCCAGTGAATTTTCGTCTAATTCGACATCGCTTAACACTGTTGAATTAATAATAATCTTTTAGGGTATTTATATAGTTTTCTCATCTAGTTGGGCTGTATAAATATGTAAATGAAATAAATACATAATACATAAATAAATAAAAACCCATGGAAGCCTTCGGCAGAGGAAACCAAACGGCGGAGCATTAGGGAGAAAGGGTGGGAAACCGGTGGGCAATGCCGGCGGTATTGAAGAGCACCGCCTTCTGCATTTGAGTCCAGACCCCTTCGTCAAGGAGTCCCAGTTGCCTCAAATGACCCGAGAGGCTGACCGGGATTAGCCCGTCTGCATAAACAACAACAGGTATTATTTCAGTCGGCAGACCGCCCCACATGTCAGTCACCTCGTTAGCTAGGTGCAGATATTTTGTTCGCTTATATGTTTCCGCTTTCACGAGGTTCTCGTCATACCGAATAATAATGTAGACCAAAAATATCCTTGACTGTGCCCGGTTCATCAGCGCAATATCACGCTTATTCGCAAGAATATTCCTGTCTGCGTTGATCACAATACAGCTTGGCGCGATCATTTATCACGGCTTTCGGCAAGTGCTTATAATATGGCAGTTTCCGACCCATGAAACCGTATTCCAGAGCTAGCTCCTGGTGTAGAATCCCTCCTAGCTCCTTTTCATACGGTCTTCCGGTGGGAAAAATTCTGTACTGCCAGGTCTTGCCATTGCCCGTTGGCTAAGAATAGAGGGGTAAGCCCTTCATCACAAGAAATGACGTCTCTATAGAATGGATCATCCGATCTCGTCAGCAAGTAATTACGGAGGCTGCACACTTCGCGATGATACATGGTAAGCTTGCTTAAAAAGCCACGCCCACCATCTTTCCACGGCAAATACAGCCTCATAATCGACGATCTCGGGTGATGTATCCTATGGGACGACATAGTAGTGCGGACTTTTCTATCCAGGGCTTTAGGCCCTTAGGCGTTCAGTTTGAGTCCACGTAAGTATGCCACCACATGAAGACTCGCATGACCCAACCGTTATACTTAGGTCATAAGTTCTGTCAAAAACTTTTTATAAAATTTTTGATACACTTTTTGATAATTATATAAAAATTATATATGAAATGAAAGGTAATTTAATTTAGAATACAATTTTATTTACTTTATTCAAAATACCCTCCCCTATTTTGAATACTTGCCCTTAATCAACGCGGCCAATCATCAATCGCAGCACGCACCACACTCATATCTATTTCTGCCGCTGCTTTAGCCAAAGATGCTCGGAGAGATTCCAAATTCTGATGAGGTTTAGCGCAGACTTTCTCTTCCAAATTTTGCTATATCTTATAATCCAGTGGGCTTAAATCTGGACTAGAAGAGAGCCAGTCTTCATGTCCGATACAGTCAATTCCATGGTCGGTCAACCAGTTTTGCGTACTTCGTGCCCTATGAGCTGGTGCAGAGTCCTTTTGGAATATCCAATGTCTGTTTTTGGACATTGTTTGAGAAAGAGGTTCCACTATGTTTGTTAGGACGGGATTTTGGTACACCTCGACACTGGGTTTTACACCTTTTTCACAGAAAAACACCTCAGTTAAGCCTGAATATGAGAGTCCAAGCCAAACCATGAGTGACGAAGGATAATGTGCTCGTTGAACCCTCTTAATACGCGTGCTGACTTTTTCACTGTGGGCATACACCTTATCATTTTGTTTATTATAACTTTCTTCGATGTTAAAAATTTTTAATCCGAAAACAATATTTCGCAGTATTCTTTCCCGCGTACCGCCGTAACAAAGCGCGAGATCTATCCAGCCTATTTTTTTTTCAAACGCTCGTTCAAATAATGTCCGGTCTTCTTACGATAAACTCGTAGACCTGGGTCTTCATTGATTATTCTTTTGAACGTGGTCCTGCTTAGGCCCATCTGAAGAGCTAAGATTTTTTTGTTTACGAACAGGATTTCGCAGGATTCACGCCTTCACTGCTTTGATGATCGCGGGTGTCCTAACTGTACGAGGTCGGCCGGTCCTCTTACGATCTTCGAAGCTTGAATCTTCAGTGAATCGTTTGATAGTGCAAATTTAAACAAATCGTAGGGTTATTTTCAATTTTTGTAGAATATTGAAAATCTCTTTTGACGTGTAACTACAGCGGTGCAACGCGATAATCGCTACTCTATCTTCTTTCTTCGACCACTCCATATTTGGAAATGAATGAAAATTAATGTCTTTTTTATTTTCGGCAAGCGCAAACGTTATGTTTTAAAAATTGGTGAAGTTCATCTAGCCAGTAGTCAAAATTTTTAAATAATAAGGTTTTGTCAGTACTTATGGCTCGACCGATATGTTTGTCTTATTTACACCGAACAAAAGACTGTTAAGCAATTTGGTCAAGCGTGCATAAACACATTCCAAAGTGACTGTTCCATACCCGCTTCATCCATACCGATGTTCTGTTGATGATGATTCTGATGAAGATGGTAGGTTGCCGTGGTTAAGGTTAACCATGACATTGGGACGTCAAACACCTCAGTCCCCCCCCCCCCCCCGGGGACCATGGGTGCTGTAAAGTACTCGAAACGTCGGGTATATAAAATAAGTTAATATACGCGATAAAATCCGTAAAACTAGTTTTATTTAAATGTGTAGTGTTCGCGTAAATATGTAAAAGCGTTTGAGTGTTTGGGCATACGTCCTATAAAATTTGATACTTTAACAGCTTACACTAATATTAGGAATATTAAAATTTGATTTTAAAATCAATAAATATTCACTACAAAGTCTATTTCATTTAAATATATTTATTTACTCTATTTCATATATGGGGAAGGTTCGTTTAAGTGGCCCAGGCGGGTAAAGTGGCCACCTTCTTTTTAAAAACCAACCAAGTAGCGCCATTTGTCAACGGCTTATGGAAATTATTCACTGACCGACGCCATATCGCTCCAGTAAACACCGACGCCTTAGTTCACGCGGACAGATTTTGTGACAAAAAAGGTGGTTTTTGTGGTCTCTGATATAAGGTAAGTGGTTTAGAAATTGTAATAATTTACTGTGTTCAATATAAGTAAACAACAATGTAATATTTTATCAGTTAACCCATCTAATGAATTGTTTATTTCACGGTAAAGAAGGACAATATAACCTCATTTGAAATTTGTGTCGTTTTTTTACCGTCGCGCTTCGTTTCAGGTAAAGTGGCCTAGTCTGTAGGTAGGTAAAGTGACATAGTAGGTCACTTTACCCGTCTTAGTACTAATTTTTCCTGTGAATATAAATAATATTTTGCGGCAGCAGACATGGGACCCGGTTGTGATGGAAAAAGCTATAACAGTTGTAAGAAACGATGAAATGGGCTTCCTTAAGACTAGCAAAGAATTCAAAGTTCCTCGGTAGATGCTCAAACAACGTGTAAAAGGAATAAACCAAGAAGCTGTTGAAAATATAAAAGTATTGGGGTATCGCCGTCCAATTTTTAAGCCAGAGCAAGAAGAATTGGTGCAACACGTTTTAGAAGAAATGGAAAAGCGATTTTATGGATTAACTTTGCAGGATGTAAGGAGACTTGCCTATGAGTTGGCTGAACGCAATAATATAAAACACAATTTTAATAAAGATACTCAAATGGCTGGAAAAGCTAAACTATCCATTTCATCGTATTTTTGAGTCTGGCTTTACCACAGTGCAGAGCAAAAGCTCTAAAATACTTTCACAAAAGGAAATGAAGCAGGTGGGTGCTATCACCTTAGCAGCGAGGTGTATTAAGCACCGTCGTGATTTGTATGGCTGCTGGTGGAAATTATATTCCCTTTTTATTATTTTATCTCGAAAGAGAATGAAGGTGGAACTACAGATGGTGCACCGCCGGGTACAGGATTTCCTTGTCATTCGTAGGTGTGGATGCAATTGGACACTTACAGATCGATTTAAGCATTTTCTGAAATTCACCAAACGGACAGAAGAAGATCCAGCTCTCCTGATTCTAGACGGACATAACACACATACAAAAAATTTGGATTTTATTGAACTGGCAAGAAAACACCACACGACAGTGTTATGTTTGCCCCCACACCGCACAGACTTCAAACACTGGATGTGTCTTTCATGGGACCTGTGAACAAGTATTTTTGTACTTTTACCCAGAGTAAGCCTTTTTAGACCCTAATTACAATGTTTTCTTTCTCACACAACTTCCTTGTGGAATAGTTTACTACCAGCGATTTTTCCGGACCGATACGACTTAGTGACCTTCAAGAAAAGAGACCTTTTTAAAAGGCTGGCAACGCATCTGCAATTCCCCTGGTTACCCTGATGTTGCGGTTGTTCATGGGCGGCGGTAGTCACTTACCATTAGGTGAGCCGCATGCTCGTTTGCCCCCTCTCCTATAAAAAAAACAATACCTTGTACTTGTATTAAGTAAGAATTTAAGGAAGCACTCGACTACCCGAAACTAAAAATAACAACATAAAAAATACGGTCTGAAGCGCAATATGGTTGCAGCACGAACGGGTCGACTTAACCGCAAAAAGACCCTGCTTGCAAAGAATACAAGTAAAATAACTGCATAATACTGCTGTTTCGCAGAGTGAGTAATGAGAGTCAGAAAACTTTTGTCGAGTGTTGACGAGGTATTAACACGATAGCTGTTGTATTTTGATTTTTAATGCAAGGTACATGTAGTGTCTATTGAGCAGCATTCACTTGTCATCATAAAGTAATAATTTTAAACCTAAGACAGCCGTGGTTAACTATGACATTAGGACGTCGACCACCTCAGTCCCGCCGTGACCATAGATACTAAAAAGTATTCGAAACATCGACATAAAAGGAAAACGTAAAACTAATTTCGCTCAATGTGTATAGTATTCGCGTAAACATAAGAGATCATGCTTCTTTAGCGGCAGGGAACTAACGTATGCTTTACGTCATCAGTACACGAAATACTCCTCCAGGTGGGAAAGAGAGTCATGTACAGCAAATGAATGTTTATTTGCTCATTAACAAGAAGTTATACGTGATCGTGATATCTGCCTTTTCCATATTCGGCTTTAAGGACACACGGGGTGAAAGAGGTAACGAATCTTGTTTTTTATAAAATGAAGATGACAATATACTGTCCACCTGATGTTATGTACTTACCAAAGATATGTATATTTATCCACGATTAAGAAAAAAAATGCAGATGCGATGTTATTGGTTCACTCAAAATTTCATCTTGAGGCACTTCACTGTTCTCTCAGGGACGATAAAACATTTTCTGTATACGCAGGAGAGTCAACAAAAAGGAAAGGTTGTTTTTTTTACTCTGCTACTGCGTTTCGTTTTAAAATACCAACTTCTCCTGCGGGTGTACGCCGCAAGCGGCGACCTTTGATGTCGCGTCGGCTCCTTTGACCAGATGCGGCACTATCTAAGCGAACAGACATAATATATATTATGATAACAGGTTTATACTCACCATTTGATACATTTAACTCGATTTCTGAGGAGTGTGGAACGACGGTAGCGCCACGAACAAACTCTTCCCAACTGTCAACTGACACTATGCTTTTAGCGTCCCACTCGTCCTCAGCGTTATCATACACCTATAAACAATATTAACATCACGTCAACAACGGTTTATTACACCGTGACACGTAGCTTAAGCTGGGTACACACTAACCAAACGAGAAAAAGGGGAGGCTAACAAAGTAACAAATGAACGCAAACGAGTGGCTGTGGACTATTTGACATGTACGACGTTAACCTTTTTGTGAATATTTGCATTACTGTGTGATCATATCTTCTGATTCTAATGACGCTAAAGTGGAAGATCTTTTACATCAATTGTAGGTTTTGTAAATTACTTCACTACATATATCTTAAGTATATGAATATAGGTTAACCGTGTTAACTCAGGGGATTAGCATTCGCTGTAAATTTCACAGTACGCGAGTAACCCGGTTTTAACTTAAGTGCTGATTTACCACGTGCTGGACGGTGAATGCAAATATCGTGAGTAAACCTGCATGTTTCAGATATAAAATTAAAATAAAAAAATATTTTGAAGACATGTGAAGTCCGCCAACATGCATTGGGGCAGCGCAGTGGACTCTTCTTTGATCTAAAACCCTCTCAGAAGTGAGAGAGGGCCTGTGCAGCAGTGGGATGGATATAGACTGTAACTTTTACAACATATTGTTAAATTCTCAAACCCAAGCGGCGAGAGAAACAGAATGCGAAGCATCTAGTACAGCGATCGCCAATGCCACTGTCAAGCCAAAAAACCAAACCAAACAAAATGGCATGGCCAATAATAGTGCACTGTTACGAACCGATAAAGAAGAATAGTCTACAAAGGCTATAAAAATGTTGTAGTTACAATTTCTTTAATTCTTCGGGGATCTTCGTCGTCTGGCAACCATGAGTTGTCACTTCTGCGCATGTGTTCGGCAGTGCAGAAGGCGTTTGTAGTATTGTCACCGCAATTTAGCGCTTTTCTGGCAGGAGACCAATCTAACAAGCAAAATTCGTTCTATTTAATAAATATAACATAAAAACTGGATGCTGCATATTATCAGTAAAAAGGATCAGCAACAAAGAGCAAGCCCTTCCACACATTCAAATGGAAAGATTTGCATCGTCTTTTGTATTGCTAACAGCAATGGAGTGGAGTGGTACAGCAGCGTCGGTCTTTTCATCTAACAAGGTCTTCAAAGCAAGAGTAAATAAAGTTTTAAGCTCTGCAATTGAACTTAACATCTTCGGCTACATCACCACTAACCATCGGGTGGGATAGAAGTCAAGAATCGGCATATAATAGGAAAAATAATTATAATTTATCAGAAGAGGAACAAGAATTAATTAAATGAAGTAATTTTTTACGTGGTAGAGCCATGCTGCAGCTATATTAGTGGTATAGTTGTAGCACGAATGGGTTGGCTCGACCGGGGAAGGACCACGCTCTCACAGAATACCAGCGTAAAATAGCAGCTTAATGCTGGTGTATTTCGTACGGTGAGTGTAGAGAACCGGAGACCCTTTTGGTGAAATGAGGCATTCCATCGTAGTCCTCACGGGTGACAACGCATCTGCATTTTATTTGATGTCGATGTCGATGGGCCACAGCAACCACTTACCATCAGGTGGGCTGTGTGCTCGTTTGTCACCCTTATCCTATAAAAAAAAGACTCATATTATTTTGTTAGTATTAAATCGCCTTGGTCAACATTTGCCTTAACATTATCAAACACTCGATCATTATAATATAAGGGGCTATGTATGATCCTAGATTATACATTTCAGACTGCTACATCTGTCCATCAGTTCCGTCGTACGAGTGATGGAAAGTCGACTAAGAGAGAAGCCGAGGAAATCACGCGTTCTCAGTTGGAATAATTAACTCCTATATGTGCGACCCAGTACCTAGCTACCTAGACCTGCGACAGAGAGCAGGAACGGTTGAAAGTACAAATCGAGTATTTACAGATCGATAATGATGACTTTTTACTATATTATACCCACCAGACTATAAAAAGTTCTCTAAATAAGGTGGGTGGACCATGGAAGGCTACTCTAACGAGTAAACACTTTTTATTCGTTTATTAACTGAATAGATGAAGAAAACAAATTATCAAGTAATAATTTGTTTTATTGTGTTCCATAGAAATCACTTTTTTTAACCTAGCTTTAATCACTATTTATTAAACTTAAGTTTTATTAAGCCCTTTCAAATGGCCTTGCAAGGAACACGGCTCCAAACAAAGCCAATATTATACATCAGTCGTTCAACTTAAAAATAGAGTTGCAATAATTAATATATCCGCTTTTACTAAGGCTACATTATAAGCTTTTTCATTTAAACGAAACATTAAATGCTCAATATATTTTTATCATTTATAAAAAACTAAACGAACATTACTTGAATACCATCGTATAACTATAATAAGAATATATTAATGGAAATTATTTAAAAATAGTAGTAATGAGTATTAAATTGACATCAAATAACTTGCCAACGCGTTTTATATTGAAATTAAAAAGTTTTTTTTTTAACCTAAAATGGCCTTCTTATGGGTCCGTTCTTTGTAAGGCCAAAATGTTCCTAAGAAGACCAAACTAATAATTATGAATGACTTTTTATATTAATTATAACAAAATAATAGACGCTACAGACTAAGTACTGTAATTATTACAAACTTATCATGGCACATAGTCAGTCTTGAAGTCAGGACTGTTCAAAATCAGCGATTCTTTAACTCACATACCTACTTAATTTATCACATACTTTACCGTTTTTAACATGCAAATATATTTTATGTTCGTTACTTTTCATGTAAATTAGCTTCGTTTATTTTCAAACATAACCTTCCCACAAAAGAAATTTAAATATATACTGGAAATAAAATAATTGTGAAGAAATGTCTATTCAATATGAGTTAAAAAGTATAGTAAGTAAGTAATAACCCTTATAAATAAAAATATTATAAATATAAAACAACTGCAACAGTACCTAACTGTTCATATGTTCATGGTTTGTAGAAGTTCCTTGTAAGGCCCATGTAGGTACCCTAGCAAGGCCAACCGTCAAATTTTTGGTTGGCCTTATAAGGAACCACCGGCTTTTCTAGGAACATTACCAATATTTTAACTTAAATCGAGGCAAAACTATTTTGTTCCTTTAGTACCATAAACATACAACATACGACAATTCACAGTAAAAAAAAATGAAGTTTTGCTGTGCGCGCGAATAACAATTATAACGTCGACGACCAAAGTCTACGAAGCGTGAGATCGTGCTGCCACAATAGCGGCGCCAGCGACTCGCCGCCGCATCGGTGGCCTTGAGTTTGATGGATCTTTGTGTATAGCAGAAGGAATATGTCTTTACATGTCAATAACTGGGTAATGCTCAAATTTTTAGCGCAGTCGCACAATGGAAATTACAACGGAATGTGTCACAAAGAGAAAAACGTTGTACAAACGTTATAAAGTGTAGTGCACATAATATTTTTGTACATTAACTGTTTGTTTTAATTTTATTTATAAATCAATATTAATAATTAAGTATACTTACGTCACTACTAACGGGTAACGGCTACCTAGAATAATATACCAGTCGAAATAGTGAGGAAGATCAATTACATAGTCTTAGCCCATTACGATTGCATAATGCGAGATGGTGGACCTGATACTGTGATCCGGGCATGCCCTGGACGTAATTACTTAATTACCTTCAAGATTATTGGGGTATACTATTAAATAAAACTAATATAATATGCAATAATCAAAAATATTTATGATATGAGATGATACAAGATGTCACTAACATTATCAAAAAATGTTATATATTGAGAGTTGTATACTCTTAAATCTTAAAAATATATTTCGTCACAATCTTCAGTTAAACTGTACTCTCCTAATTTCTCGAGTCGAACTTCATAAAAAGTGTCATCATCTTTGATTTCAATCTTATCAATAAAGTCTACGTAATACTTCCAGCTCTTTCTTTTGTAGTATCTTACTAATATACTGTCACTTATTTTATATAGTTCCGGCACATCTATGTCTTTATCTTTTGAAATACATGAATCCGGATTAGCATGTGTAGTGATATTTTCTTTCTTATTTTGAGAACACAAATTAAAATTGGTACAGTCTATTGGGGTAAGCGTTAGTGGACCGTAATTACTTAAGTTAAAATAAGCTTGAATTTCAGGTGTGAATCGTACCTCAGATAAAACTTTCACTTTACTGTTTCGATTTGTCTCGTACACTATTTCTGTCTCAATTTCTCCTATAGTCATCTCGTTATCAAAACTTGTATAATCATCGTCAGTATCGGCGTATTGAATCTCATCAGTATCTTCAGAAGTTGCGTCTGATTCCTTATTTATCTTCCTAGCTCTTTTACTTGATTTTATCTCCTTCTTTATCTTATTTTTTTTTAGTTCTCGAGTCACTTGTCTTACAGGAAACTTTTATAGGTATTTGTTTAAAATTATGAACTTTAGGCGAAAAACAATCACAGGCTCCTCTTGCGCAAAAACAACTCAATGATCTGTACTTGATAATACGTTTATCGTCTGTAGCAATTATCTGATGGATTTTCATAGTATTAGGAACTGGTTGTATATTTTGAGGATTTTCCACCTTTTTAATACTGTCTTCAGTGACGTAAAATAATTTAATGGTTGTATCAGTTTTCGATAAAACATCAAATGCAGATTTAGCATCAACTATGTCCTCACCATAAGAGACTCTACTATCTAAAATTCTTTTGATGGCTCCGCCCACACCATCTGCTGCGCCTTTTCCGTGGGAAGCCTCAAAAAAGGACCACATCGCCTGAACAAATCCATCTTCCTTCGTTTTTTCACCAAACAGCCAAAAATTTTTCTTCTGCCGGTACTGTGTCGTAGGTCCGTCCGAATAAAAATGAATACAGTTAATAGCGGGGTACTTTTCTTTTAAAAAAATATTACAGGTTCTAAATGGCCCCATATAGCTTGAGGGTCGTGCTTAAGTGACGGGGAAACAGAACAAAAAGATATAGGTTTTTCATTTTTTACATACGCAACTCCAGTATGCAAAGTAATTTGTTGCGTTGAGCCTGCAAAGTGCATAGACTACCTTCTTTAGCCATCTTACACGAGTAATTTTCTGAAAAATCGCAGTGTATGATGATTTCATTGCCCTTTATATTTTCTATGGCTTTTTTGTATTGCTTGTGCTGGTGATAAATATTAAAATGATGACATTTAAATTTCACAAGATCTTTTTGAATCATATCGGCAAGTGTATTTAACGTACCTATTTTTTCTTCTTGTACAGTTTTTTTTGTAGTTTTGCGTGTATTGGATTTTCCATACTCATAAATTTTAGCGGTCCATTCAAGCCAAGATACTTCTTGAGTATCTGCTGCAAAAGCAAAACTAAGTTTTTTTTTCCATAGCACACTGTACATTCTGAATACATGCAGCTATTTGATTTAACATCGCAAACTATTTCAGAAACCAAGTCATTTGGATTAGCAGACGATATTAAGCCTAACTTCTTGAGAGTTTGAGCTTTGAAAGCTAAATTAGCATGCTTGATACAAGCACACGTATTGCGATTATTTACATGCGGAGATACTACGTAAAACGGACGATAGCGCTTGAAAGAAGTTAAAGACAAAATTCCACCTTCACTTCTATATATCTTATACAAGTTCGACTTATCGAACTTATTTTTGCTAAATACCTTAGTATTTAGCAAAAATCGTTTCTGTTTTTTAATCTTCTGACGAGTGACACATTCTTTTTTACCAGCTGTTATACGACTAATGTCGTCTCTTTCAAAGAATTTCGTAAGTTCTTTAGCTGTTCTGATTTTTTTCTGCTTGATATAATAATAATGGCGTATACCTCGCTTCAGTCCCAAACATTTTCTTATTTTAAATTGCATGTTATATTTCTTGACTGACTCACTGACAAGAAGTTTCTTTAAAACGTTTTTTTCTTCGTTTATTTTACTATCATTGTAGGTTTCTTTTAAAGACTCTTGCAGAACATGAGTTTCTAATAATTTATTCCTTATCTGAAAGCATGAAATAAAATAAGTTTAAGTGTAAAATTATGTTAAAGCGTAATAATTGACAACTTAATTATTAATAAAATTTAGTCAATACGTTTTTAGACTATTATATTTTTATTGTTGAATTAATTTAATAAATTTTTTGATTCCTGATTGGTAATAAATGACAAACTATAAAAGTTTTACCTTCTGTTTAGATTCTAGAGATATACCAGGAATTTCTTCTTCTATGTATTTTGTTAAAGAGGTAGTAGGGGATTTTGTAGGTTTTACTGTATTTTCTGTTTTAAGTTGATTCAATTGGTTGGTGAGAGTACTGATTTTTTTTCTGTATCTTAATATAGTTTTCTTAACACTGCCATTTGTCACACATAAGTTTTTATTTTTTTCCTTCAAAAACCTGTTTTCACGTAGTAATTTACTACGATATTTACGACGTTGCCTATTATCATTATTGGGTACGACTAGCTTTTCTACCTTTTCGTCTATTTTATTACGTTTAGCATCCCGCCATTTCTTACTCATCGCCAATTTTTCATCTTTATTCATATTCGCTATTTTTCTTTTTTTAGCCTTTGTTCTCTCAGCATTCTTCTTTTTCATTAGATCATATTTTTCGGGATTAGATTGTCTAAGATTTTCGCGGTACCTTCGGCACCTTTCAGCCGAGGACAAAGGCATCTGAAAAATATTCATTATCAAACAATTGAAAAAAAAATACGCAAGCACTTTAGTATGATTTCATAAATTGAGTAGAACGTTGATAGGTACACAGCTTTACGATTTCCATTGTGACACGTTACACAATTTCGTGTCATACGTCGCACAACGGAACAAATATTCTACACAACTTAGCCTAAAAAAAATCAAAATTCATGAAATTTACTATATTGCTCATTCTAATTGTTATATTTTGACAATTAAATACATGATAGATATGATTTACTATCTTAAATCAGGAAAACCATTTAAATTTCGAAAAATATAGCAAAGTAAACTTACAATGTCTTAATGACACGTAGCGAGTTCCGACACGTTCGTCCATCTGACGCAAAAACGAAATGGCGGAAGCATCCAGAAGTTAGTCGAATTTTTTTTTGGAGTTTATGGCCTGGTATCTAGACCTTTAGGCCAAGTCTTAAGTATTTTTATTCGGTTTATTGTAATTTCCCCACTCCTTCATAGTATACTGCTTCACAATATGTTGATGCGTCACATTGTGCAGTTCTTGGGAGATTTTGGCGGCAACTTGATCCAGCAGACAGCTGATAGTTGGCGATGGTATTTAAAGGTGCCTATGCAAACAAACAGCTTATCTTGAGAATCCATCACCATCAGAGCACTTGTTTCACTGTTTCCACTAATAGTTCACATGCGTAGACACTTAATACACAAAATCGCAACACTTTTACATATCAAAGTCCACTTCAAACCATTATTTAAACAATAATACAGGAGCAGCAAACCGCCGCCGGTCAATTTCCCGCCAAAACCCCAGTTAGTCGAATTTCAAGTGGCCTGTGTTGCCACTTTAAATATATTGGATATTCTATGGTAGAATATAAATAAATCCCAAATCAGCGTTGCACAACTGAAGTGTCACACTGGATTGAAATTTACGACATTTTGAAATTAATAAATATATAATCAAAACGCGTTGATAATATAATTAGCTTATTTTAGTAAAATTAAATCTTTCATATTCTACAGGCAATAAAATATGCAGACTAATAAAAGAGTGGTTTCTCAAACATTTCTAATAGTTTTTGAAAAGTGTACGTACACGGACATCAACAAATTGTATGGAAGGAAAATATGAAAATTTTTATTTTTAATTATAAAATAGGGATATTATGGAGTAATATTTAATTAAAAAAACAAACACGATGAGTAAATAGCGAATTTCTTTGAGTTAATAATAAAAATAAAGTATTTATTATTTTTGATATTTTATTTCTTCGCTTCAATTTCTCGGACAGCGCATTTTTAGATAGTGCGCGAAAACTTTGAGCCTTACCCAACTACGACTTTTCAATAGTTGGCCTTCAAAGGAGCGTGGCCTTCCATGGTCCACCCAGCTTTTGTAAGCTTTTGATATGCTATCTCACATAATATATAGAATCAGTATATCCTTTTGAATCAACTTTTTTTATTATTTTATTGTAGATAACTAAATAATGCTTCATAAATAAATAATTACCTTTTGGTGACACCTGGTCTCTTCCTGGCACATAATTCCTATTTTTCTTGATACTCGTATCTAACCAACTTTGAGGTTCACCATTTTCACAACAGACATTGAAATCCAGGTGATCTTGTTTAATATAGTAACAATCAAAATTTTCTCCAGACCAGTTATCCCAGTTTAAGTCCACACGCATGGGTAATATGGGAGTTTGTGGTTTTGGTTTACAGAAAATATGATCTCGAGGATAACAGTCCAAAATTTGATCATTTACTTGCTGGGCATGGAATGCATTCTGGCAGTAGTAAGCTGGATAATCAGGAACAGCTAGTTTTGAAGAGTAAGACTGTTGACAATTGGAAGTAGACGCATTTCCTTTAAAAAAAAAGTTAAATGTATAAAAATTGTGGAATTGTAAAATTAAATTATTATCTTGTGGTGGGGTGCAAGAGAATTCAATCCCAGGATGTTGCAAAGACTAAATAATACAGAATGAAAGGAATAGATAACACATGCATGGCTCCTACATCGTAATTTACAAAATCGTAATTTTACAGAGTGGGTAAAAGCAAAATATGCCATTTTTTGCACGCCTCACGACGCACGAGCGTATCGGAGTGCTCTACTCTTGACATGCCGCTATATGACGATTTTGCAATATAAAATTGTTAGGATGTCTCAACTTAGACACTATATTAAATTATAAAGTCAGCGTATTTTTTTTTTATTTGTTTAGTATTTACAAAAACTGTAGTTAAAAAATTATTAGTACGGCTTTTAGTTAATCTGTGCACTTGTTTGTCTTCACGTTTCAGAAAAATAATAATGATAATCTCCTGGAAAACCTTTTGTCCTCCATCTCTGATATTATTGGCAAATTTGACGACATATACCTACCGTTTAACGTGAAAAATAAACTTGATGTGCTCTTCCAAAAAAAATTATAAAATTCAATCGCCTCCACATCCTTCAGTGGTATTGTCGTAGCATCAAGAACAAGAAATTCGAAGTAACTAATTTGATAAATACTCATAACCCCTCAGTCATTGGTATTGCACCTGGTTTTAGATTCAGAATTCCTGGTTTTTCGTGAATTCGTGACGACCGCAGCGATGGCTACGACGGCACTATGATACCTCTAAATAGAAATCTTACCTCTTGCTCAATTCCCCTTCCCCCTCTGCAAGAGAATATTAATGCAACAGCTGTAAAAGTAATGGACGTCACAATTGTGTCAATATATATTTCCAATCCTACTCCTGCCGCATCCCAGAGCTTAACTTAATCCTGTCTAGTATATCTCCTCCTTTTATTGTAATTAGAGACTTCAATAGTCACATCGTGCTGTGGGGTTCTCATAAAATTATTCTTTTTCCTATCTCCTTTTTATAGGATAGGGTGACAAACGAGCACACAGTCCACATGATGATAAGTGGTTGCTGTGGCTCATATACATCTACATTTATCCTCGTTTGCGTTTCAAAATGCAGATGCGTTGTCACCCGTGAGGACTAAGATAGAATGCCTCTTTTACAGTAAAAAGGGTCTCCGGTTCTCTACACTCACCATACGAAACACAGCAGCGTTAAGCTGCTATTTTACGCTGGTATTCTGTGAGAGCGTGGTGCTTCCCCGGTCGAGCCCACCCATTCGTGCTACAACTATACTACTAATATAGCTGCAGTATGGCTCTACCACGTATCTATTAATAGACGTCTTTAATAAATTAAATATAAAATTTTGAATAATGGATCTCCCACCCGCATGGTCTAGCTTTCCCAAAATATTAATTCTGTTGTAGATCTATCTCTCTGCTCTGCTAATTTAGCCGCAAGTATCAATCTTTGGAAGTGATCACTTCCCTATCCTTTTATCTTTGTCTAGTAGTAGTCTTCCCACTAGGAATAAATCATTGATCTCCAAGTTTAACGTATCCAAAGCCAACTGGGATATATACCTATCTGATATAGAAACTAAAGCTCATTCTCTTTCTTTAGTGTCTCACAATAACTTATAACATTTTCAATGAATCTGCTACAAAATCTATTCCCCTTAAAAATTGCTCTAATAACAAAATTTCCTCACCTCCTTGGTGAGATGCAGAGTGCTCTTCTATTGTTAAAAAACGCAAAGATGCTGAACAACAATACTCTGTAAATATGTCCATGGAAAACTTTATAAAATATAAAATAATAGCTGCTCAAGCCAAAAAAACATTCTCAGAAAAGAAGAAAAAAGGATGGCTTTTCTTTGGATTTAGAAAGAGTTTGAGTACCTTTGACAGCCTTAGCTATTTGATTTCCAATGTCAGACTTGCATTTTCTCAAAACAACTTCCTTGTATCATTATATCAATCTTCATTAATCAAAAAAAATCTTCATTATATCAATGTCATATTTGAAACCGGAAACATTAAGTGCTATGCGGATAACAGCACTGGTGATGCTTTATACACCGGCCGTGCCAATGTATCTCGAGAAAACGTCGCCGAGTACCGGGACAAAATTGTGTCTAAAGTCGAAACTTTGTTGAACAAAGTCTCGGACTAGGCGCGACTAAATCTAGTCCAGTTCAATCCATAGAAGACACAAGTTTGCACGTTTACCGCTAATAAGAACCCCTTCGTCATATCTCCTCAGTTTCAAGGTACTCCCCTTATTACCGCAGCCAGTATCGGTATCCTCGGCGTCGATATATCGAGTGACGTTCAGTTTCGTGGTCACCTGGAAGGAAAGACCAAATTGGCCTCTAAAAAGCTTGGCGTGCTCAGCAGCGTTGGACTGTATTTCATGGCAGCACACCGCCTGCAACTTTACAATGCGCAGGTTGGGCCGCACTTGGAATACTGTACCCATTTCTGGGCTGGGGCTCCCAAGTGCCAACTCCTTCCATTTGATCGCATCCAGCGTAGAGATATTCGAATCGTCGGCGACCTAACTCTTTCCGATCGGCTTGACTCACTGGCACTGCTAAGATATGTTAGATCTCTTTGCGTATTTTATGGCATTTACCATGGGGAGTCTTCTTAGATGTTTGCGCAGCTTATGATAATGTTATACTTCCGCTGCTCAGGCATAAGATATATAATGAACTTTGTGTCAAAACTTTTTTCAGGAAGATACGTTTAAGTGCGTGTAGCGGGTAATTTCATGCCAGTGAGATACATCTGGAAACGTCTTGATGACGATTTGACTCTCTTTGTTACTGATCATTCTTTACCTGACGCCTCTTCTCGTTTATCTCGTGCGGTATATTACCTCCAAGGATGGCTCACAGAACATTGTTGTCATTCTCCCCCCCCCCCCCCCCCCCGCCACAAGTAAATCCGTGGTATTTTCGAGACGAAGACTCTTCCCAGAAGTGTCAATCTCTATTGGAGACTCATTGATTCCCAATGTGAGCCATGTGAAATTCCTCGGTGTTATGCTAGATAATAAATTGTCTGGAATTCCCCACTTATCCTACATAGCTTCCAAATGCGAAAAAATCTTAACGTAATTCACGCTATATCAGGAGTTTGCTCTTGTATAAAGCTTTGATAAGAAGCCATTTCGACTATGCTTTCTTTTTGTGGGAACCATGCAACAAGAGTGCGCTCAAAACTTTGGATCAAATTCAAGTAAAATGTCTTCGCATTATAACAGGAGGAATGAAATCTACCCCCACTAATGCTCTTAAGGGTCGAGTGTGGTGAAAGTCCTCTCTTTCTTCGCAGGGAGTACCTATCAGACAAATTTTGGTTCAAAAAGTGTTTTCTTCATTACCATTCGCTGTTCCATATACTACACTCACTTCATCGGCAAATTTCAATTTCTTCATACTGGCGACATAAAGATATACCATACCATCCCTTTTAAAAAGCTATATAAAGTTTGTAAATATTCAATCTCCAATTTTCCAAAATAACATCAACTTACTCTTCTTCACTCCCTACGAAGCACTAGTTTTTAGTCCAAACGTCATCCTTGACCTTGGACTAGACAAGAAAACCATTGATCCTAAGAGTAAATTAAAGAAAATCATCTCATAATATTGGCAAGACGCTTCAAAGTCTTTTAGCAAAAGATTGTGTAGGTTCTGCAGTTTGTATCCCTAAATATAGAATAATTTTAAATGCCCACCTGAATCATCAGTTTCCACAGGTGAATCTACTGCCATTTCAGAGGCAATCCTATATGCCGAATCTCACAACTTGGAAAACTCTTAATTCTCTCTGATTCTCTTAGTTGTCTCCAAACTATTATCTACAGCTCCTTCAACTCTAAATCAAATCCCATCCCTACCCTCTTTATTAAAAAAGCATTATACAATTGTCACGGCCTAAAAGTTGTTTTGGCTTGGATTCTAGTCCATTCCGGGATACAGAATGTGCTGATTTTTTGACTAAGAAAGCGACACGAACAGAACCCTCTCTCGGTACCAAATTTTCCCCCATGACTTGCTTTCACTAGCAGGATCTGACTTTATGGCATCTTAGCAAGGTCTCTGGGACCCAACTAAAACATAAAATGGAAACACTACGCTCGGATTCAAGGCGTAATCCCATACAAACCTTGATTTTTCGATTATCGTCAAGCCAACAAATTTACTACATCAACCGTTTGCCGTCTTCGCTTTGGTCATTCTTGGACACCGGTACACCTAGCCAAATTAAGGATAAGAGATAATTCTTGATGAGAATGTGGTTCTGATGAAGGTTCTATCGATCACATATTTTTCGAATGTCCCCTCAAGTTCTCTTTGTATGATATCCTTCCCCAAAACATCCCTCATCCTACTAATTCTACCTGTCTGTTGTCTCTTGTGTTCTCATTTGTTCATATTTTATGCGATTTTATCTATACTAATAGTATTCAGTTGTAACATAATACTAATCATTGTTGGTGGTAGAATTATAAATGTTTGTATTGTCTTTTGTTGCAGATTAGAAGCCAATCACAATAAAACATTATAAAAAAAAAAGAAATGATTTTATTTACTTTGTTGTCACTTTCATGACTGACTTGACTTGATTGGCAGAATTCTTTTAAGAGAAGCTATAAAGAAAAGAAGAATAAGAAGAACGAAATGAATAAGTCTTTCTGAATAGGTTTCCATTTATCCTCAGGATGATCCGTATTGCTGTTATCAGACTCATAGACGTTTAAAAGATATTAATGAAAATGAATTGCACGCCTCATAAAGGGAAGCGTCATTAGCACATAAAGCACTACGCTTTACTCTCGACACGTCAAGGTCAAGCAATTTTGTGTTCTTAAAATGCCTCTATAATAATTTATATTATATATTAATTTATATTATATATTAATTTATATTATATATATTGCACTTACACGATCATCGATATATATGTACTATGCACTAGATTTCGCCTTCCGAACATAGACTATGCTCAACTGAACTGTAGTGCAATCCGTACAGTCAACGAAATATTGAGTAAATTGAAGATTTGTGAATTCTATAAGATAATTATTATTACATTTTAGTTAGAAATATGTTTGTTTAGATTAAAATAAGTGTTGGCGACGCGTCTATAAATAATATTTCAATTCATTAGTTTACCAATTACGGACAGCTTCTAAAGATTAATTATCGAGCAATAATTATTCTATAAGAAAGCACTTAGTAAAATTTTAAAGAAATTTCGAGTTAATATCCTGAGGTCCCGGGTTCAATCTCCGGTCGAATTACTTTTTGTCGTTTTCTTAGTAATTTTTCTTAGCAAATATTAGAGGATATTTTTAATACAATATTCAAAGGTGGGTTCGACGCCCGGTCGAATTACCTTTTGTTGTTTTCTTAACAAAATTTTAGAGAAATTTCAAGATAATATTCAAGGATGCCGGGTTCAATCCCCGGTCGGAACGATCACTTTTTATCTTTTGAGATTGAATTATAGTTGTGTATTCCATAATAATCACCTGTGTAATGTAAATGCAAATTTTGTAAAAAATAAATCCTTATTTTGATGTTTAATACTTAAAAATAATTTTGTTTTGTGTTATCAGATAAGAAACATCATGACTGGTAAGGATAGTGTTTGTGAACCTTGGTGTTTCATAATGTCAGTAGCCCAACGGCAGGGCGCGGACCGCGATCTCGAAAGGTCGTGGGTTCGAATCCGCCATTCGACTACTGCCGTGAACCACTTCTAACACGAGTATTTTAAGCTTACCAGAAGTGGTTAAAGGGAATATTAGTAATGTTTAATAGCATTACTATCTAGTATTTTATAAAAAAAAAGTGCTCTCTGACCAAGGATTTCACTGGCCTCCTATTGAGGTGACTAGAGTCGTGTAGAAATTGGTTGCTCATTTAGTGAATAACAAATTTCAATAATATTGTAATTTTGTAAAATTGAGTCATAAATGTTTCAGGATGACTGTATAAACTAAAAAAGTGAATTCTGTGTTGTTGTGAGTGTAAATTCTTTTTAAAATAGTGAAATAATGATAGCTTTGTATAAGAAAGGAGAAGGAGACGTCTCCATACATTCTTGGGCCCAAGTGTTAACAAGATGAAAGTAGGACCATTTGCAGACGGTATATATAAACAATTCATAGCTGAAAATCTGGCAATATTTGGCAATTTAGAAGCAGAGTTATTATAGTAAAAGTGGGATTATCTATTACCTACACTGTAACAGGTGATTTTTCACTGTTATTACACTGTAACAGGCTATTTTTCATTATAATTACTTAAAGATATAAAAGCAGGATCAGTATAAAATCACCAAAAAAGCTGTGGTTAATAATGAAACGAAATGGTGAAACGATTAACGAAAGCTAAAACAACAACAACTAAGTGAAGTGAATATTAGGTATATCGAACTGAGATAGATTACTTGAATTGTTGTTGTAACTGTTACTTGTTGTAATTTTGATATTTTGTATTTTTTATTGCTATTTTGTAGATATGTACGCAATTTTTATCTCCTAGTTAACACATAAAAATAATCGAAAATAGATATTAAAATGCTCAATTTAATCGAGAATCGATTATATTGCGTTCGTTTCAAAACGAATCGAAAATCTGTCTTTTTCTTTTAAGTAAATAATTTGAAGTTTGAACTCACGGAAGTATAGACAAACGAAGTACATGTACTTCCATGTTTGAATTGTTAAGTCAAGTTTCAAAAGGAGAAGTCCTCTATTGGAATATAACGTTTAGAAACGAGAATTTCACTAGTGCATTCTTTATGGTAATCAATTTATTGCTATAAATAATATACTACAATCGATTTTCTAACTTATTTCTTATTTTGTTTTTTCGTAATCTAGATTGTAAAAAGAGTTACTTTTGTTGTATTTTATTTAAGAAAAATATGACAAATTTTTTTAAAGTATAAACCAATTAGTTAACTTCAGAACCAAAAATCCCATTCTCCTTTACAAGTGTTTTAAAGGTAAAAATATGTGTGAAAATATGAATTAAACTATTGTATTAGTTAAGATATTTGTATTTTCAAATAAAGAACATTGTTTCAATCTTATTCTTATATGTTAAATATTTAAGAATTCTAACTTGGTACATATGTTGTAAAGTAGACATATTTTGTTAAATAAATAAAAGGTTTTTTATGTAATTGAAATACAATGAATGTCATAATATTAAGGTTTTGTTGTGCTATCATTATAAATAAATTGTATAACTGTATGTCTTATACGAGGGCGGGTCAATAAGTCCGTGATTTTTTGAATTTTTGACCTCTTTACTGAAAAAGCAACACTACTCCTGTCAACAGGCATCTGTCAGTTGACTCCTGTCAAAATTTGAACTTGCTGCGTCAGTTAGTTTGTGTTTGACAGCTATCTTTATCAGACTACCCAGTAATTTGAGGAAAAAATGGAAAAAAGTTAATTTCGTGTGCTTATTAAGCATTATTTTTTGCGAAAAAAAACCATTACTGAGACCAAGGCTAAGCTTGATAAATACTATGGGGACTCTGCACCATCGATTTCAATGGTAAAAAAGTGGTTTACTGAATTTCGTTGTGGCCGTACAAGCACTGAAGATGCCGAACGTCCTGGACGCCCAGTTGAGGTCTCTTCACCCAAAACAATCAAAAAAATTCACGATATGGTGTTGGCCAACCGAAGATTGAAAGTGCAAGAGATTGTGGAAGCCGTAGGGATCTCGCATGGCTCAGTGGTTTCAATTTTGAATGATCACTTGGGCATGAGAAAGCTTTCTGCAAGATGGGTGCCGCGTTTGCTCACAGTCGACCACAAACGCAATCGTGTAACAACTTCACAGGAAGGTTTGGCGTTGTTTAATCGCAATATGGAGGAGTTTTTGCGCCGTTTTGTAACCGTGGACGAAACATGGATCCATCACAACACACCAGAGACCAAACAAAAGTCAAAACAGTGGGTTTCTAAGGGTGAATCGGCGCCAAAGAAGGCCAAGGTAGGTTTGTCAGCCAATAAAGTTATGGCGACTGTTTTTTGGGATGCACGCGGGATAATCCACATTGACTACCTTCAAAATGGAATAACAATCAATGGGGAATATTATGACAACTTATTGGACCGATTCAATGACAATTTGAAAAAAACCGACCTCATTTGGCCAAGAAAAAAGTTCTTTTCCACCAAGACAATGCAAGGGTGCACACATGTGCAGTTGCCATGGCAAAAATCCATGAATTGCTCCCTCATCCGCCCTATTCTGCAGATTTGGCTCCGAGTGACTACTTCTTGTTCCCAAACCTGACGAAATGGCTTGGTGGAAAAAGATTTGACTCCAATGATGAAGTCATCTCGCAAACAAAGGCCTATTTTGAGGACCTCGACAAATCATATTTTTTGGAAGGGATAAAAAAATTGGAGAAGCGTTGGACAAAGTGTATAGATCTCAAGGGAGACTACGTTGAAAAATAAAATGATTTATTTATCAAAAAATCTGTGTTTTATTCCAAAAGTCACGGACTTATTGACCCACCCTCGTACAATAAATATATTGAAAAAACTGTAAGAGTGCAATAGGACAGGATCAACGTAATTGTATTGTGAAATCGCGTAGCGAGCGCGGCTCTCTTTCGAGTATAGCTTTGAAGAACCTTATTAACCGGTTCAGTGCGGATGGCACGCCAGGCGTGCCATCGATTACTTTTGTGTGTGGCGTATGACACGCGAGTTGTGTCTTTTAAAAAATCGTTATAACTCGCTCAAATTACGTTTTTGGAAGATTTATCCAGAACAAAATATTCATTATTTTAACTCGCTCAAATTGCGTTTTTGGAAGATTTATCCAGAACAAAATATTCATTATTTTGCAAGTAGTTCATGCATACAGCTTCGTTTCTGGATATTTTGAAAGAGCAATGAAAAATACATAAAATGAGTTTTATTATTTTTCTATGATTTTTTTATTGCTAATCTCAGGAGTTTTTTTAGGAAAGCAAATGGTCGTCGGAAAGGGCAGAACGTCTGCCTGGTCAGCTAGTATATATATATGAGACAAAGGACAAATATCCCATACAGCCTATCGTTTATACTTTGTGTAATTGATTTATTTTGGTAAACATTATTAATTTTTTTCCTGTAGGTGACACTACCTGTTAAAATAATAGTGCTAAATTTATAACACGTGTATATAACTATTTGCTGTATATCTATCTAAATGTATAATTATATCTAATTATAATATTTTATGAGGTTAATCGTTGATTAATAAAATAATATATAGTGATCTATCTGTGAGTTGATGTAATATGTTATTATTTTTCCTTTCGTATTATTATACTAGATCTTAAACGAAATGAAATTAAAAAAAGTATTTTATGAATTTCATATAGAAAAATTCGCTCACTTTATAATTTAACATATCTACTTTTTAAAACATCCCTTTTTTATTGATTTAGTTTCTAAATTGAAACATACTAACAATGTTATATTTGCAAAATCGTCACATAGCGGCATGTCGAGAATAGAGCACTACCACACGCTCGCGCATTGTCAGGCGTGGAATAGTTTGGAACATTGCCTCTTTCAAATAATGCGATATCCACCGGGCACAAAGCTTCCTGACCGCTAAATGTTCATGGAGTATTTTGTACACTTGACTCATATCTATGCCTAAGCTTGTCCGAATCTGCTGATAAGTTACCCTTTTGTCAGTTTCTATCATACGCCGCACTACACTGATGTTATCTTCAGTAGTCGCCGTAGAAGGCCATTCCTCACGCAGATCATCGGTGATATTAGTGCGACCTCGTTTCAACTCATTAAATCAGTTGTAAACAGTGGCACGAGATGGGACTTCATTGTGAAAGGTCAATCGAAGTCTATCATAACTTTCTTGTTGACTTAAATGACATCGAGTCATAAAAAATCATTGTACGAAAATTTTCTCGCGTTAAATTCATGCTGACGTGACACAATTCGTAAAGAAATGACAAATTAATAAAATAAATACACAATAATATTGGCAAAGAGTTCCATTTTCAAAATTTGAACATATTTTTTTATTATATCGTTTACAAGTGGCCACTTTTAAAAACGTTCAGTGTTGCCCTCGTATAGTTCCGGACAATATTAAAAAACAATATAAAGAATTAGATTACCATAACCTTTTTAGCCATTGCAAAATTGTCCCGATACACGAAAAAGTAAAGTTTACCCTTGTTACAATACTTCTTCTTACAATTATAATTTTATTTATGTGTGGATTGGGCGTGTAAAATTAAAGCGAGAAAAACATATCGCTGTTCTATCTTTCGCGTTGTTTCAGATTGCCATTTTAAAACTTAGATACAAAAATACATAATATTATATCGGAAGAAACTGAAAATGTTAATTCTTTGTTAAACTTTTTTTTGGTTGCTTATTAGATTATAATTACATACATATTACTCTCAGATTTGCACTCTCATTGAGGTTGAGTTTCGGGACAATGTATAGATATTTATATATGACAAAAACCTTATTTGAAAATTGGAACTTTGAAACAAGATCTTTTTGAGATTTTTTTTATACTTGTTTTAAAGTTTAAAAAATTTGACACAAAGTTGTTGTTCTGCAAATTCAATTAGAAATTAAATATTTTAAAATGTTTACTATAAATACAGAATAATGTACTACTAACCAGAACTTGTTTCATAGAAACCATCATTAAGCTCAAACACTTTTGTTTTGGATTCCATCACCTCATATGTTTTTGGTTGACTTTCGGGCCAACCTGTATGTATAAATATATATATGACAAAAACCTTGTTTTAAAATTGGAACTTTGAAACGAGAACATTTTGTTTTTTTTTTATACTTGTTTTAAAGTTTAAAATTTGACACAAGATTGTTGTTCTGCAAATTCAATTAGAAATTAAATATTTTAAAATGTTTACTATAAATACAGAATAATGTACTACTAACCAGAACCTGTCTCATAGAAACCATCATTAAGCTCAAACACTTTTGTTTTGGATTCCATCACCTCATATGTTTTTGGTTGAGTTTCGGGCCAACCTGTATGTATAGATATAGATATGACAAAAACCTTGTTTTAAAATTGGAACTTTGAAACGAGAACATTTTTAGTTTATTTTTTTATACTTGTTTTAAAGTTTAAAATTTGACACAAGATTGTTGTTCTGCAAATTCAATTAGAAATTAAATATTTAAAAATGTTTACTATAAACACAGAATAATGTACTACTAACCAGAACCTGTTTCATAGAAACCATCATTAAGCTCACACACTTTTGTGTTGGGTTCCATCACATCATATGTTTTTGGTTGAGTTTCAGGCCAACCTGTATGTATAGATATAGATATGACAAAAACCTTGTTTTAAAATTGAAACTTTGAAACAAGATCTTTTTTAGTTGTTTTTTTATACTTGTTTTAAAGTTTAAAATTTGACACAAGGTTGTTGTTCTGCAAATTCAATTAGAAATTAAACATTTTAAAATGTTTACCATAAATACAGAATAATGTACTACTAACCAGAACCTGTTTCATAGAAAACATCATTAAGCTCACACACTTTTGTTTTGGGTTCCATCACATCATATGTTTTTGGTTGAGTTTGGGGACAACCTGTATGTATAGATATAGATTTGACACAAAAACCTTGTTTTAAAATTGGAACTTTGAAACAAGATCTTTATAAGTTCTTTTTAACCTTGTTTTAAAGTTTGAAATTTGTCACAAGGTTGTTGTTCTGCAAATCCAATTAGAAATTAAATATTTAAAAATGTTTACTATAAACACAGAATAATGTACTACTAACCAGAACCTGTTTCATAGAAGCCATCATTAAGCTCAGTTTTGGGTTCCATCACATCATATGTTTTATTTAATTGATTCCTGAAGAAAAATACCAAAGAATTTGTGAAAAATATTCTTTGACAATTGTCAACTAAATGATCAATCATTTTCATAGAATGAACATCTTACAATATTTAGTAGAATCATTTCTGCACATGTGAACTTAACCTGCACATAGTACAACCTGCTAATCAAATATGGCAATTTGTTTTCATAGATTAATTCTTCATCAACAAAAAACGTCTTCCTCAATTCATACCTTACTTTATTGACAGTTTATCATTTTTTTAAACTAATATTTAATCAGTTGTAATGATGAGAATAAATAATTAATTATAATAAGGTTTTTTTTTTTTTGAAGTAAATAAAAACATCATATCGAAATAAAATAGTAAACCATTCTCATAATTCACAAAAGCCTAACTTTGAATAACTCCCAAGTAACAGTGTTTTTCAAATATTTTTTACTCTTTCATAATTTAAGTACTGAGTATTGTATTTCTCAACTTAACCAAATTTTAATATGGGTATGTTTTGCCTTTTAGCACCAGTTACAAAAACCTAAATAAAATTAATTATCTTCATAAAATCATTAAAATCAGATAATATGTTGTGCTGATAATGTTTATCAACTAGGTTTTGTGTTCTCATTCATTCATTAATTATATAAAAATTTTACTAAAAGGAATATTCATTCATTCATTAATTATATAAAAATTTTATTAAAAGAAATCTCACACAGACTGACAAGGAAAGGTGTTTACAATGTGGGAATGTTAGGTTCATACTAACCAAAATACCTTCCGGTATGGTAAGTATGAGCAATCCTTCATGATATGCATGCCAGTAATGCAATCAGGTAAAGCCTGGCCTGGTGGCAAAATGAATTAAAGGAGACCTATAGAGGATAAATTTGTAGGGTAGTTGTGACTTAGGAACTGCTTCACTCAAAATGCAATAAGATATAAAAATTCTTACTTGATTTCTCCACCCACATCACATTCTTTAGTTTTTTTGTCCGTACTAAGTTTCCAATTTTTCTGTTTCTTATAAAATTCCAAGCGATAAATTGCTACTAAATTTGATTTAGGATTTTTTATATCTTCCATGTTATAGACTGATACTGGAAAATAATTAATCTAGTATACAATGTTATAGATAGTAAAAGATATTATCATACCTGCAATTTAATTATTTTATAAAAGGTACTCTCTCTCTATGATATTTATTAAACTATACTCATAAACATTGTACAAGGATCAAGGAATACACTCCCTGATGAATGTTTATGCATACTAGTATGCTTTAACTTCGCCCCACGATACCAACACAAACAATCCAACGAAGTGACTATAATTTTCAATGTTTAAAAATGCACTTACCTCACTCCTCGTTACCAATAACTATAATTTATAACGGGTGCTCACTACGGTTTAAGTGAGTTTCGAAAATACAGTTATACACACAATTGATAACATTAATTTATCTAATATACTTGTCAGACTTACATACTCTTACCTTTATCGAAAATAAAAAGAGGTTAAAGGGAAGTGAGGGTAGAACTAGAACTAGAACAAAGCACAGTAAAAACATTGCAAGTTTGAAATTAAAAG